TTCACGGGAAGTTCCTCGGGCTTCACGGGAAGTTCCTCGGGCTTCACAGGAAGTTCCTCGAGCTTCACAGGAAGTTCCTCGAGTTTCACAGGAAGTTCCTCGAGTTTCACAGGAAGTTCCTCGAGCTTCAAAGGAAGTTCCTCGAGCTTCACGGGAAGTTCCTCGAGCTTCACGGGAAGTTCCTCTGGCTTCACGGGAAGTTCCTCTGGCTTCACGGGAAGTTCCTCGGGCTTCACGGGAAGTTCCTCGGGCTTCACAGGAAGTTCCTCGGGCTTCACAGGAAGTTCCTCAGGCTTCACAGGAAGTTCCTCGGGCTTCACAGGAAGTTCCTCGGGCTTCACATCTGTTAAGGAAGCACGACCCATAGTGTACTTCCGGGTCGCACGGACCGCAGTTGTTTATGAATAAAAACTGTTTTAATCTACTTAGAAAAGTACGTGCTCTGTCTCCACCGATCTTCATGCAGCTAATTTACACCACTCGTATTTCCGTTACAATCATTGGTTCAGATGATCTGCGACGCATTAGAGCCGACAAACCCTGCGTGATACACAATGAATTATTTCCACGGTGAAGCAGCCGCTCAGTGCTGACGCTGCAGATCATTTGAACCACCACGTAAATGTGTCGACGATTTTAACAGAAATACGAGTGGCGTAAATTAGAAACATGAAGATCGGCGGAGATAGAGCACGTACTTGTCTAAGTAAAATAAAACAGCTCTTATTCATCTTGTTGTGGTTGTTGAATCTTGTTGTGTTAAGAACCAGAAGAAGAAGAAGAAGAATGTGGCCCTAGAGCCGTAACTTTCAGACCCCTGGATGAGACAAGAACTGACCTTTCTGACGTACTGCTCAGAGGTCAGCGAATACTCGATCCCACCCAGGACAAAGGTCACATGAGGTAAACTGGACAACCGGCCACAGTCGATCAGAAACTGAAACAAACAGATCCAGGAGGAAAAGATGAAATTAGGTCATAAGTTTAAACAAGACATTAATTATAACTTCAGTTTGTTGTGCTTTTCTCTAAAAACAAACGAAACAGATCTAGTGGCGAAGAAGACCATTACCCATAATCCAAATGAATCCTTGGAACAAAAGTTTGACATTAAAGTAGAAATCACGCAGCAGCTAGCTTTCAGGAACTAGCGCTGCTTGGCTAACGACCTGTATCACGCCAACAACACGTTCAACAACTTTTAATTACCAACTAGTTTGGCAACAATTATTACTAGTTTCAGAAACAGAAGCTCTAATGTTAGCCACTAGCTTAGGCAGCCTTTTAGCTAGCATTTCATCGCTGGAGTATTAGCTTCGGCAGCTGATAATACACTAGTGAAAAACTATTTTTCAATATATTATTTATTTTAGAATATGTTTTTATTTTAGATTTTGTAACCCCTCTAGAGTTCGGCTCATACTGTTCAATTTAGAATAGTAGCTCTAATGTTAGCCACATTTAACTAGCACTGCTAGGCTAACTAAAGCTACACAGAAGGAATCAACACTTCATTGTCATTCCAGCGTGCACGATATCAACATGATGTAACATCAAAGTAACAAACCGCACATCCAAACTGAATGCTATTAATATATTTGGAAAACAGCTGGAGCTTCACCCCTTGAAACGCCCACAGGCTGATGCTAAAGCTAAATGCTAAAGCTAAATGCTAAAGCTAAATGCTAAAGCTAAATGCTAAAGCTAAATGCTAAAGCTAAATGCTAAAGCTAAATGCTAAAGCAACACTAAAAAAATATTGTGACTTTAAAAAAAGAGGGTAGTGGGGAAAACGTGTTTATGTGACAGCTGAAACTTCATTATTCAATAATAACATTATTATTACACGTTTTCCTAATATTGTGCAGCTCTAATCGTAACTAATCTAATCTAATCTAATTGTATCTAATCTAATCTAATCTAATCTAATCGTATCTAATCTAATCTAATCTAATCTAATCTAATCTAATCGTAATCTGTGTTAAACTGTACGACATCAGATTAAATAGATGTAGATGCCGAATTTATTTACGTGGCAGAACCACGAACGTCACAAAGATCCAACAGAAATATCAGTTCAACATTTAATGGAAATTAATTACTGAATTAACGTTCTTTTTTACTACGGTACATTCGGACTCCTGAAAACGAGGAGGAAAAGACGTGGCGGACGACCTCGGTCGGGAAAAAGATGTAAAACAGATTCAAGTCGACCGAAGCTCAAAACCAAAGATGTCTCCAACGTGCGAGCCTGGCTCAAGGGAAGGGCTAACAAACATCAGACACCTCTCCGATGCGAGTGGGCGTGGCTCCAATCAGCTGTTGGAGACGGAGAATTTCATTGGTGGGTCCAGCAATTAAGGAGGTTCCAGTGTCAACGATGGCCTGGCATCCCCGAGGACAAAACGAGCTCACACCTTGTACCGCCACACTGGAACACAAAGATCGTAGACAAACGTTCTTTAACAACAAACAAACAAAAAGTTGTTGACACTGCCAACTGTACCAGAACTAGACCGATGTAAACCATCACACATACAACACTGATTACCTTTCCATCTTAATCTGCCAGTATCCCTTAGCGGTGACGGGGATCCAGTTGATTGGTCCGGTGTATAAAGCTTCATCTTTCCCACCTAGCAGCAGTTCTCCTTCTGGGTTGCTGGTGCTTGTTCTCCTTAAAAAACAAACAACAATAACCCTCGAGTCACGAGTTCGGTGCACTAAATATACGTTTGAGGAAGAATACTCAAACTGGGGACTGAACCGAGAACCTTCTTGCTGTGAGGCAACAGTGCTAACCACTAAACCATCGTGCTGCCAAAAGACAGACCTCTTTCCTCAACATAAGGAAGGAGAAACTTCTTAAGGTCCTTCGAACGATGAACAAAGCATCTTGGAACAAAAACAGAGACTTCCGGTGATTCCGACTCAACGCTCAGAACCTCTGACCACAGAGCAGCTTTCAGAACCTCTGACCACAGA